AAGTGGACAGAATGAACCAAGTGACCAAACAGCCATAATTTGCATGAGTTTTCCTCATTCTTTTAGTACTTGTATGTGTAAGCAACACATCCACAGAAGAAAAAACAGTCAATGGTGGAAATTATGGCCAGTTTGAAACATATACTGCCCTAAGTAATGTCTATGGGTTTTTTAAAACCCAGATATATCCTGTTGAGAGCTTCTTTCTAAATTTGTGAAATTACTTGTACAACAAACTTTTCACGTTGTGTATGGTCAAGTATAATTTTCATTACGCACAAGGATAAGGACAAGTAGGTCAAGTATATCCTTAACCGATTAAAGCATTATACATCAGAGCTTCTTTCTAAGTATGTTAAATTACTTGTACAATTAACCTTACACTTTGTTTTACGAAAGTATAATTTTCGGTACACACTTGGATAAGAAACAAATAGCCACATCCACAACTATGGTACCAGAACAGCCAGTAATTATCAAACGCATTTGTGCCGTACAAATCTCAAGCAATTTACAATTCTCCATCAGGGTCCTAAAATTTGGAACTCTCTTCCTGTTTTAGTTTCTCATTCCTCAAACCTTCTTAGCTTTAAGACAAAAATGCAAGAGTTTTTAAATAAATAATCATTGAATTGGCCTAGTCACACATTTACAGGACTTTCTCTTAACTTGATTTGTTATTGTAAGTGAGGTGACTCTTCCACAGGCCCGGTGGCTTGCTGGGTCTCCTCGCCTTCTAGCCATTAACGCTGTAAAGAAATTTTTGTATTGTTAAAATAAGGCAAATAAAAGAAAAGATGATGACACACAGTGTAAATGCTTCATTACACCTCCTTATATTTATTATACCTCCTCATATTCATTACATTATCATAAAGGGTTCCAATTGAGGTTTCATCCTGAACCTATGCCTTCTGTGTGCTACAAAAGAAACTAGGGCATCTTTCTGTGCTTTCAAAGCATCTTTGTGTTGCTAATAGAGGGTTGTGTTCTGTGCATCATGATTTCTGATATTCGCAGCTGTGTATTGGCTTACTACATTGATGTGATTACACCAACCTTGGAGGACCAAGATCGTTTCACTGTCGTGTCTGTTGTTGTTCAATAGAGTTTCCGTATACGCTCTCTAATGGTAGGTTTCTGTCGTTTGTTCGCTGATCAGAGTTTTATTGAATCTCGTGTCGATTTATATGAAGATAGAATAAGCAAAATTGTTCACGGGTGCAATCATGGTGTCACTAATATCAGCAGTCCTCTCCAAGTTATTATTATCAGTCATACTCAATTGCAATTCCACATAACTTCAATTCAAATCTAGAAAATTCCCTTGGGCATCCACTTGAAAATTCGTGGACATTATTGTTCGTTCTTTCTTCTTGTGGTGCATTTCATCAACCACTTGACGGTTTTAGTTTTTTATTGTTGGGAAATTCGAAATTGCTACCATTGATGGGTAACGTCACCATGATTCCACTAGTGGATTCACCTGTTTTAATGGCAGCGTGTTCACTGCTTTCTTTGCGAAGATCCACTTTGATTAGGTCGAAAAATTGTTGACACACTGGAATATATTGAATGTTTGAGGGTTCGTAATATTTCGTCGAGGGTACATAATGTATTTTGAGGAAGACGTGTCATCTGATTTCTTACAAACGTACCAGTAGCCACATTCTATTCGACTCATAGGGTCCTTTCGGTGCTATGCTTTTGAGGTACATTGCATCCCATCATGTTTGTGAAACAGCGCTTTAGCTTCGTGAATTTCTAATTGCTAAAGACATTGAGATAAAGATAATCCGCATCCACTTTTCAATATGCGCTATAATCCAGGGTTCAATCCAAGGGTTTTTCCAGAGACACTATGTGTATATTATGATTTTGAATGGTGTATTTGTTATTCAAAGCATTGTAATGAACAAGTCCATAGCCGTCAGAGCCTTAGTATCTTCTGTAGAGTTCAAAATCTTTTAGGGAAGCTCAAGGTTTATCGCTTGACCAGATTTTTGTTACCTCTACAATTAATAAGAGCTTTTTCTCATTTTTAATATTAACTCTATTGGGTATAAGTTGAGCTGCGGTTAATACTATTTTTACTTTTTCAAAGTTGAAGTAAACCCAGGGGGCAGGAAATATCGATATGATAGCAATCCGCTTTCAAATGTTTTTGTTCCTCTTTGTGAAACAATCGTTGGCCATAGGAATACTATATCTCTCCTCTTGTGGGTAGACTGATTGTGTTGCATCACATCCTCCCATTAGAATTTTGCTGGGCATGAGCTACAGTGCTGCACAAAATTCCTGGCAGTCTTGGACAATGTGCTGCCTAATGTCCTCGGGGACACATCCCTCTCACAGCCCAAGCACTTAGCTGTTGTGTCTTCCATCATTTTGGCCCCATATAAGTTTTGACAGGAACTCATTCTTGGCTACTTCCACATGTTATGAGGTTTTTTTACAGACAAAATATCGCATACATCAATGTTTTGTTCAATTGCGTTATTGTTATGCGTTACAATACAAGTCTTAAAATAAATCAATTTCATCCGGGATACTTCGATTTTGGATGTCATGCATCGATGTTGTGCAGCATACATCGCTTTCCTGACTCATTCACACGTGACTTTATGTAACTAAAAGATGTACGATAAAACTAAAAGATGAGGAAGCGGAAATAGAAATGAGCGGAAGTCAGAGGCCCTGGGAACTAACACTTTCAAAATGACGTAAATAGAGGCAGATGATTAGTGAAATTTGAGAAGCACTATGCAAGGTGCACGGATTTGGCTGCCCAACATCGAATGATTTTTTACGTCTTTAGGTGGGGTACTGGAAAGTGCAGAAGTGCAAAGGAACATTGCGTCCTACAACTCAGCTGAAGTTTTTAGTCGCCCTTTAAGAGAAAAAGAAAAGAACTCTGGTCACTTTGACTCTAAGAATAGAAGAAGCCTTTCCAGATGAATTTGAGGTGATCTCTGATCTGAACGAACTTATTTTTCTTATGAACGAACTTTCAAGGGACTTTAACAGAATTGTCGAGGACTCGGAACGTTCTACGTTTACTGCACCATCGTCCCTAAACGATCGTCTTTCGACTGTGGCTAGGAAAGGTTTAGTTGGCTGACTAAGGCTACAGATCTTACAGCAACAGCTGCAAACTCTGCACATGTGACGCCGGTTTTCGTTGGGCTGATATCGCAAGAATTCTCTCTGAACTTTGCGCTGTCGAAGAGATGAATTTGGGTTGCCAGTTGGTGTGGGAGAGAATTTCAGTGATGTCTCCAAAGATGACCTTGTGGAATATGTGAGGGAAATTCTTAAAGTGACACCAAGTGCTGGTCAATGCCTGGTTGAAGGTGGCTCGAGGCAAAGGGGCTTACGAATCCAGTGCCATTGTATTCAAGAATCTATTCGAAGAGTGGATCTGGTTCTTCGCACTTTAAGAGCAGCACAGCAGGTAATTCGTAGAGTGTACGGTGTGCCATGCCCCAATGCATCATAGTAAAGGAAAAGAATTTGTTGAAGCGCTATTTAGTTAACACACCATCTTCTCTCTAACGAGTCTCTGTTTAAATGGGTCTCCTTTTTTAAACAGGCCCCCCTACACCATAAGACTCGTCCAACCCTCTTCTCAAAATAGTCAGGCAGTTTTTTATTTCTCTAAGGACAACACTTCCTTGGGGGGGGGGACTCCTGTGTAAAAAGGACAGGGATGCTTGTCATACTTTTCAGGGTTTAAAATGCAGGTTTGGTACCTCTTATGATGTTCAGCTCCAAAAGGTCCACAGCAGGAGCTTTTACACTACCTCTTAGGTAGGGTCTTAAGCGAAAAAAAAGGACAGCTAGGGTTAACTGTGTTGTTTCAGAATTGTTTCCTCTCAGGGGTGAAAAACATTTCAAGCTATGCCCACAAAACAGGAACTTGATACCTTTCAAGGGTTATTTTCAAAATTTCTGACAATCCATCCTGTCCTCTATATATGGGAGTTCCCCCAACACATGGGCAACACTGGTTTTAACTCTGTGATACAAAGGAAGTCAGGCAGTAATTTTGATGCATGAGCATTAATGCCAATTCGACTCATGATTTGAGATACCTCCCCCAATTCTATTTAGCCCCCTCACTAATCACCCTAACCCAGTTTCCCAGCTCCTACCTTCTTCTGATATTATGCTCAAAATTCCTGACTATCATGCTTGTTACTCATGGGTGGTCAACAAATGCCTCTTCTTGTTGTTATGATTATTATTGTTGTTGTTGTCATAGTTATTATTATCATTACCACTATTACTCAGATAGGCAGATTTGACTTTTTTTATATACCATATTTTAACAAAACTTATGTGTGGTAGTGCAGTGGAACAATGTCTCCATGGTGTCCAACAAGGACTTTGATGGCAACCACAAACTAATCCAGCCATACAGAATTGTCATTTATGGTGGTTTAGATGGTTTTTTAAGAATGATAGTATTCCTTCAGGCATCAACCAACAACAGGGCTTCAACTGCATTGCAGCATTTCCAGTCAGCTGTTGAGCACTACAATTTACCATCAAGAGTTCGCAGTGATCTTGGAATGGAAAACATAGAAGTTGCTTGCTTCATGCTGCAAGAAAGAGGTTTAAGTAGAGGCAGCCACCTCACTGGAAAATCTGTTCATAACCAAAGAAGAGAGCATCTCTGGTGTGATGTCAACCGGGTCATCGTGAGCCGCTTTTTGAACAATTTTCTCTTTCGAGAGCACAGTGGAATTTTAGATCCAACAGATGAGGTGCATCTGTTTTGTATTCATCTAGTCTACATTCCACTGATTAATAATGTAATTAACCAATTTATCAGTCATCCTGTAAGCACACCATGCAATTTCTCTCCCAATCAGCTCTGGATACAAGGAATGCTACATTTCTGAAATACATCACATCAGGCTGTGACAGATGTGACTGCCAACAAGGCTGTTAATTTTGACCATTGTGGGATTGATGAAGAAGGGCCTGTACCAGACATGCAGAGTGACTATGCAATTTCGGTACCTGACATAATTACTACTCTGACACATAACCAAGAATTGTCACTGCAAGAAGCTAGAGATGCAGTCTTCCAAACTGGTAATCATGACGGAATCATAGCCAACCAAGTGGTATTACAGATTGCTTCTTTCTGTTTAAACTGCGGGTCATGATTTACTGTATTAATTTCATGTACTTGGAATGAACTCTAAATACAGTTAGTATAAATTGGTTACTGCTATACATGTCAGTATGCCAAGAATTAAATTACTAATGACAGTGTAAATGGGAAACAGTAACAATAATCAGTTGTTATTTTTTTTTTCTTTTTTTTTTTTTTGGTAGTGTGTGCGTTCAATCATGATAGGTATGTTCATATTCGCTCTTCAGGTTTTTGGTCTTATCTGCGGCTATACTCACCAAACTAGTCTCAAAACCACCTCAAATTTTTCGTTATGCGATAGTTTCCTCCTAGCAAACCTCAAAGTAATTGATATTCGAATTGTAGGCAGTTTTTGGAGCCATGTGCAGGTTAATCGTTGCTCTTCTCGTCGTCGCCGAGGGCGCCATGTTAGAAGATGTGCCTCAAACAAATATCTCTATTTGTGCATTCTTCTTCTTCTGGTTTCCAATGACATCCATAGAAACCCTGGTCCACCATTGGGAAAGAATACTCTTAACATATCTTCCTTTAACGCAAGAAGTATCGTCAATAAAAGACTGGAGCTTCAGAGTCATGTAGTGCTGATGAACCCCGACATAATTGCGATAACCGAAACATGGCTTCATGAGGGAATAGCCGACAACGAAATCCTTCCATCTTCATATAATGTTCTTTGAATTGACCGTGGAAGTAGAGGTGACGGTGTATTTGTAGCTGTTAAATCTAATATATCATGCTCAAGACGTCCAGATATTTGCGAACTCTTATGGGCCGAGATTCCACTGAAAAATTCAGGATCGTACTTCTTAGGAGTATTCTACTGCCCTCCTTCAAGTGACATGAACTACCAAGAGGGCCTTAAAAGGTCACTGGAAAAAGTTGCAGTGGTATCTGATCACACTAATATTGTTCTTTTGGGTGACTTTAATTTTCCAGATATTGATTGGGACTTGATATGTCCTTCTCAACCAAATGTCTTATCAGACTATTTCTGCGATAATATTGTGAACTTCTATGGTTTCTCTCAATTGATCGATGAGCCTACACGTCAAGATGCTATCCTAGACCTTGTGATATCTAATCGTCCAGCAGTAACAATTGGATATAAGTCTATGGTTCGGCCAATTGTTGAGTATGCTTGTCCTGTGTGGAATCAACATCAACAATATCTGTCTGATAAGCTTGAAAGAGTGCAAAGGAATGCTTCCAGGTGGATCCTTGGTAGTTCTATCGACTATGGTGAACGTTTGGAGTATCTTGGCTGGCCAACACTCAACTCGTGTCGTGATTTCTTAGTTTAGTGCAATTATTCAAATTCATTATGGTTTTTCAAGAGTAGACTTATGTAATTACTTAACTTTCTCCAATAGTCAGACGAGATCTACCAACAATGTCAAAATCTGGACACCTTATGCTCGAACAAATATCCTCAAGAACTCTTTTTGGTATAAATATATAAAAATCTGGAATGACTTGCCAAATGACATAATTAGCTCTAGCTCTGCTAGTAAGTTTAAAAAAAAACTGAAAGAACACATTTTTAAATATTATCAATAATATTGCACCAATATCTATTTATCAATTAAGTTTTTTTTCAAATAATTTTAACCTTTATATTTTAGTTCTATTTTTATTGCATATTGCTTCTATTCTGGGGGCTGCCGTTAATGAGGATTTAGTTCCTCTCTGGCTTGACCCTTTTTGCCATTTTGCATTTCGATGTTATTTTTATTTTTTATGTGTCTGTAAATGTGTTTTAATTGTTATCTCTGCTTTTTTTATATTATTATTATTATTATTATTATTATCTTATTATTTAGGCAAATGAAGTTGTTATAAATAAATAAATAAATAAAGTAATCTCAAATCTAACAGCCAATGAATACACTGTACTTCTTGTGGACTACTGGGATGGAAAGTTCTATTGTGCAAGTGCTAGATTCTGCTAAGACTTTGGTCTGATGATGTTCAAGGTACTTCACAAGTAACTTTGTTGTTATGTCTGGGGATAGTTATGGACATCCAGTACAAAATAGTGCCAGGTCTTCTGATGTTTCATTGTTATTAGCACCATCTGTTTTTTAGACAAATAATACATTTACAATTTTCTTGATGTTTGTGACCCAGCTAACTAGGAAAGTTCACTGTATTCATAATTTAACTACCTTCCAATTTTGGGGGAATTTGCTTCTCATGAAAATACAACATCAATTTTGTTTACATGTCCTTGTTCCCATGTGAATCAAAAATTTCTTTCCTATGACGATCTTCCCTAAATCACTACATTACCATTGTAGAAAACCATCAACATTTACACCGACTGAGAATCCCAAAACAGTTACCGGTGAGTAAGACAACCACCATTGTCATCGTCATCATCATCATCATAAACTTTATTTAAGCGTAAAGGTTATTTAGCTATTATATAAAGATACTCATAATGTTAGGATCACCTTTCTTGTGTAATTTATCTATGTGTTGAAAAACTGTTCAGTGGTTTGGTTTATAGGATTAGCAGTTTCTCTCCACTCTAGATGTAACTTGAGCATCATGACATCAATTTTGCCAGTGTGTGGAGGAAACACAAGTTTCTGAACATCAGGAAGTCTCTCAAGTAAATCTAGGAGTGTTGTTTGCGACACTTTAACAGAAGCCAGTCCCTTCCTCAAGTCATTTAAGGAAGGGATGCGCTTTGTGATGACTTCATACAGAAAAATGCACTCATATGCTGGGTGTTGTCTCTCCTCTGTTATGCTTAAATGAGGGTATCCAGCAGATGTCAGCAGTTCTGAGATATTCATGGGGCTTGATGAATTGG